GCATTTTAATTAGATCAAAGTTAAGAAAAAATTTATAAATAATGAAAAAAATAAAAATCAAGTTTACGAAATACAAAAGAGTAAAATAAGCCTATTCATTGTATTAGGTTAAACAAAGAATTTTGTATATTGTTAAAAACTGTCGTTACTTAACACAGATGTGTGATGTAACATTTCGTCTCTAATACAGGATCGTATTGTTCATTTATGAGCTTATTTTAATCTGTAAACTTTACGTTACGTTTTAGTAAATTAAGTAGAAAAATCTGCAGAAAAAACATATTTGGAATATTTTTTTTAATATCTGAAAGCAGGCAACGTGAATTACAAAATTTTTCCATGGTCGTTATCATCATTTACGGTAGTCAATTCCTAAATAATTTTAACAAATAAAAATTTAAAATAAAAAGAATATGTTAAAAATTAATATAGATGATTCTTCATATATACATTCAACTATATTAAAGCACATGCAATTTAACTTTATTATACCATTATTTTTATATAGATTTGAAGCATAAAATTGACTAACATACTAAAATTATGAACATGTACTTTACTTATGCGAAGATAGAAAAAAATAGAAACTACTCTTTTGATGCGATATTTACTTATTAATATTGTTAAATAAAACTTAAAAAACGATTGTATAAGTTTTTTATAACTATAAGAACACCAAAATTATTGTAGTAGTACTAAAATATGCTGCATCATAATTGTTATTCAAGGAATACTTGCATCGTTATATAACTAATAACTATTTTTTCTTTTAAGAAAAAAACAAGCTATAATTTAGGTTTTCGAGTATAGTCTTACCTTACTCGAGATATTACACAAGACTTTCTTTATCTTTTCCAAGTATTTGAAAATATTTCCTTTAACCCAAAATTCAAATATGTATAAAGGTTTACGGCTTTGGAAACGTCTTTTTTAAATTTGTGCCATTGAAATAAATAAATAAAATAAAAGAATCTGTTTATTTTTGTTTACCCGTTTATTGGGCCGTGGGTTGGACACCCCTGATGTAAGTGAAAGTTTACACTTCATTCTCGCTTTTTTCACAAGTTGCATTCACTCGAAAGTTTCAATCTAAAATGTATTCAATGACAGAAAAACTACAATTGTGTCCGCAATAGCGATCGTTTTGAAATCAGCTTAAGTCAGTGCGTGATAAATATTAATTTCTAAAATTTCAATTAATTATCTTTTATTTGTCAGGATAATTAATTTCATTATTAGAAAAAAATTATATTTAATATTTTTAATATCATTTGTTTTCTCATAGGAGACACTGACTGTCTTTTTTAGATCATTTGATAATGCTAAGCCAATTAATAAGACCACAGTTAACACGGATTCCAAAGAAAATTCCTTTTTGAAGCAAAGCACATCATAAACATTTTATTTCATTAATAAAAATATCGAAAGAGGTTTCAATCGAGCTCTTTCGAATCCATGTTAATTGAGTAAACGAGATTGATTAATGCTTAACATTATTAAACCATTTTAAAAGAATAACTAGTGTCTCTCATGAGAATACGAATAATATTAAAAACATTAATTACCACAGTTAACACGGATTCCAAAGAAAATTCCTTTTTGAAGCAAAGCACATCATAAACATTTTATTTCATTAATAAAAATATCGAAAGAGGTTTNTTTTCTCATAGGAGACACTGACTGTCTTTTTTAGATCATTTGATAATGCTAAGCCAATTAATAAGACCACAGTTAACACGGATTCCAAAGAAAATTCCTTTTTGAAGCAAAGCACATCATAAACATTTTATTTCATTAATAAAAATATCGAAAGAGGTTTGAATCGAGCTCTTTCGAATCCATGTTAATTGAGTAAACGAGTTTGATTAATGCTTAACATTATCAAACCATTTTAAAAGAATAACTAGTGTCTCTCATGAGAATACGAATAATATTAAAAACATTAATTAAAATATTGATATATGATTATAGTTTTATTAACTATGAAATTAGTTTTTTAGGCAGACAGTAAATTAATTGAAAATATAAAAATTAATATTTATTACGTACTGACTTAAGCTTTTTCCAAAATAATCAATGTTGCGGGCGCAGTTATATTTATTTCTATTATTGAATACATTTTAGATTGAAACTTTTAAGTGAATGCAACTTGTGATAAAATAAGAATGAAGTGTAAAGTTTTACTGACAACAATTCTTTCTTTTAAGTTCTTGCTAATAAAAGCGAGTAAGTAAAATTTTTGTTATATCATTATGCTAAAATAAATAGACTGACTTGTAAATTTTTTATTTTTAATAACTGGGCGAAACCCTGGCTACTGGAGTTACGTTTGCACTTTCTTTTCCGGGCTTAAAAAAAGAACTAGGATAACTCGGACTTATGCTTTTTAATTTCTTTATAACAGGAGTTAATAATTTTACTTAAGTTTTAAATAACGTTTACTTATCGTCGATTTATTTTTCTGTTTATAATTTCAACTAAACAGTTTTAATAAATTAGAATAGACATTAAAAACATTCTTTTGAAAATGTTTAAATAATTCGATGATACTTAGTTTAGTACAAATATATCTACTGTAAAAAAGTAAATAATTGTTTACCTTATTACTATATTAAATTCTAAATATATATTACGCTTTTCATACAAAATATTTCAGTTCATTTTTAATAAATTACATTTTTTCATTGTCTTCCTCATCATTTACAGAAGCCTAGTCATAAATAATTTTCATAAATAAAACTTCAACACTTAATAAACAACTTCTAAACAAAAAGAAAAAATATATGTTATAAATTTATATAGATGATGCTTTTTTTAAACATTTAACTATGATAATATAAATACAATTTAATTTATTGTACAAAAGTCAATTGACTTTTTAAGTATTAAATTTCGTACAAAAGATAATATTATATTGTATGATATTAATAACACTTAAAGCGAATTAGTTTTCATATTATTATTTTTACAAAGATTTGTTGCATAAACCCTTGACATACATACTAAAATTATTAACCTGTATTTTCTCTATTTGAAGATAGAGAAGAATCTAAAGAACTCACTTGATGCATTGTTTACTTATTAATATTGTTAAATAATAATTAAATAAACCATTGTATAACTTTCATATAACTACAAGAAAAGCAAAATTATTTTAGTAGTACTAAAATATACTGCATAATAATTTTTTTGAAAGAATACTTGCATCATTATATAAATATTTTTTTGTTTTCAGAAAAAAACAAGCTATAAGATAAGTTTTCGAGTATTCCCCTTATAAACAATCCTCTCTGAAAAATTTCAGAAATTTTCGATAAATGCACGTTTAATACATTTATCGCAACATTAAATACGTTTTAAAAAGTCATATATTACAAGTTTTAGAAACAATTTCAAATTTAATAACTTGTATTGCGTATAATTTCATCTGAAAATTCACAATATTTGCTTTTAGTCATATGAAACTCAGTTTTCTAATACAGTACAATTAGATGTCAATTTAGAGCTTCCAATTCTTCTGTAAAGCGGCTGGCTCTAATTTGCAAGACTTCAAATAACGCGAGTGTTATATGTATTAATAGGATATATACAAAAATTTGTGCTTGACTGTACAAAATATGACCGTATTGGATTTTAAGGCGTTATACCCTTCTATCCTATTAGAACCATGTTTTTGCCATTTACGGGATTTCCTTTTAAGCAAGATCAAGCATTCAGAAAATAAGAGAAAGCATATTTTGGAGTTGACGCATCTAGCAACTTTTTCTTCTATTTTCAACTTTAAAGGCGTCACATACGCGCAACAGAAGGGCGTCGCCATGGGAACCCCAATGGCGGGTACTTTATGTGAGATGGTGTTAAGAACACTTGTGCCGATTTACGAAACGCAAATCCTACTGTACGCAAGGTATGTCAATGATGTGGTTATTTTATGGAATGTCAAACCCAACTTACAGCAATTCATAAAGAACGTTAACGATAACAAGTTCGGTTTCGAAATTGAACTAGAGCAAGAAAGTAATACGCGCCTACACTTTCTGGATTTATCTATACAACTTGACAGCAAAGGGAATTTTCTCACTAAAGTCTATAGAAAGCCTACGAACAACCCGACATTTATCCCATGGAATTCACACGACCCGCCTAAGGATAAGCTAGCCGCATTCCGAGCGCTCATCGCGCGAGCTTATTCGCACTGCAGCAGTACCCAGGACAGAAACGAAGAGCTATGTTATATCAATAAACTAGCTAAGGGACACGGGATTAATATTAAAGCTATAAAAAGCCAATGTAAGACAAGTAGCAAGATGAGAAGTTTACAAAATACAGAAGAGTTCACAACGATGGAATACAAGGCCTCGCTAAGCAACATATATAGGCGAATAGGAGCTGCTACAAAGAAAAGAATAATATACGAAAGGAATTTTACTATTTATCAGTTGCTAAGGGCAGACAAAGATTCTATGGACAAAAACACTCTACCAGGAGTCTACAGAATCCCGGTTACAGACATACGGAGGCAAAATATGATGTTCTACATCGGAGCTACCGGAAGATCCATCAAACAAAGGCTGTTAAAGCACCAGAGAAACATAAGAAAAGAACAGCCGTGCACAGCGCTGGCGACGTATATATCTTAGCCGACCCTCAAGAGGTCAAAGCAGAGTAGGACCGAGCTAAACTGATACAAATAGTACGCGACAAAAAGCACCTCAGATACGCCGAAGCCTGGCATATCTGCAAAACAAGCCAAAAAGGTTTAGCTATCAATTTCCGGGATGCAAGCAAAATATCGGAAAAAAGCCAACATGCATACTATAAGAGTCAAGAAAGTTAGCAAAGCGGCAACTCTCTTAATTTTTGTATCTGTCTGCCCTTTATTGTATTTTAATGTATTTTACTAGTATTATTTTAACTACTGTAGTTACAGCCAATATGTAGAGATGGCGCTTATACAATAGAATACTTTTTAAAAACATTCCAAAAATAACGCTTGTATCGGTAACGCAAATTTTAAGTTCGAAGTTCGATTGTTCAGTTTTTTCTTGATAAAGACCATTGAATATGGTCGAAAACGTTAGAATGTATCTATTAAATTTTGGCTGCATATGTAAATGTTTTTTGAGTGTATTTAGTTAAGAAATGCAGTCTCTGACGAGTTATGGAAGTAAACCACGATTAACTGTATACGAACTTCCAGTCTACTCCAGAAATCATGTGAATTCAGTTCAAAATTTTTCCCGTGAGAGAAGTTAGATAAAAAGCATGACTCTAAGGGGAAAACTATGGTGTACAGAGGCAAGACACCACTAAAATCGAAAGCATTGTGACGACGTCACAATAAATAATAAATCGCTCGTATTCTAATTAGAATTGCAATGAGAATGACTTAATCGCAAATTCTTTCTTAATTATAAATTAATTTATATAATCAACTAGTTATATTTATTAATTGTGCATGTAAACGTTGTTATGATATTTGTTATTATATATTCAAAACGCAAAAATGTCGACATTTCCACTTTAATAACGAAAAAGTATCTTGACATTTTTGGATGCTGTTTTTCTCAATATAAAGCGAATTCATGATTTTACAGAGATTGGAGAATTTCGGTTGAAATGTTGAAAACTTTAATGCAAAAGGAACCAGATTACGTCTTTCATCCCCACTACATGGCACCACGTTACCTAGCTCTTCCACGGTCTCTGCTGTAACCATATGCCCGGGCTCTACCGATCTAAACCAATTGTAGTTTCGTTTCGTCCACGTAAGCCATTACGCTCAACTCCATTTTTCCTTACGCTCAACTCAAATCCCTTCGCGAAGTTTCAGCTTTTATGTAACTATTACAAATATATGTTTTTTAACGACTCATCGACATAATGTTTAAGACAAAGTTCTCTCATTTTAGACAAGACGAAATCTCAAAACCAGATAATTTTAACGAGCGACTTTAATTTATCCAAAACCTTAACCGATTAAATTCCATCTGACTTTATTTTATTATTATTATTATTTTGTTATTTTTTTACTTTGTTTAATTTCACTTCATTATTACACTTTTCTTTTTAATCTGTACTTTTCGTCAATTTTATTCTTTTCTCAACAATAAATCATATTCATTTGTTACACATTACTGCTTATACTACTCGCCCAGACTAACTACTTCGAGAACATCGTCTCGAGTTTCTCGATGTCACCGATATAGTTATAATTTTAATTTTTTTTTTTTACATTGCTACAACTCTAGTTTATAACCTTCACGATACGTTTTATTTTTTCAGATCCATCCAAAGAAGATGTGATAAAGTTTAGCAAAATTGTTCGTATAGTTTTTATCATTTTATAATAATTATTTATAGTTTTTGACGATTTTTTAAATTTTTAGTATTTTGTAAGCGATTTTACGATTTCTCCGAATGAAACACATGAACATTTATCATTTCCTTTTTCCACCCTCTGTAAGTACAAGAAATTCAGGTAAGAAATGAAAAACAATCTCGTTAAAATATAGAATGTGTTTAAGTAATCAATTACCATAATAGTACTTAATTCAGTAATACAGTAGACCTCCCTATAACGCTTAGATACGTTCCACGCTAATCGAATTTTACCTTGTAGGAACGATTAAATACATGAGCCAATCGCAGCCCGATAGGTGGGAACTTTACGGACTAAGGCTGTTCGAAAGGTTTTCTTCTATAAAATTAACCGATTCTAGACTAATTCCACTCAACATTTCCAAAATACGTATAATTTTTTGGGAATAATCTGTATAAACTATGCTATAAACAAAAAATTGTAGGATTACTTACACCGTTCGACTACGCCGTTGCTTAAAGCTGGTTTTCATCGCGGAACAGCACGCGAAACGACGGCCGCAATTTCTGATAACGAATTTTTGGCGGAAAAATAACTTGACCTTTGGAGACATCATTAATATAAATAATTTTTATGGCCGTTGAATAAGAAGTGTTTCTTTCACAAGAAATGTATAAAATTAGTGCTGTATTAGACTTACGGTACCTAATTTACATACTGTACAGACGATAATAAACTCAACTTACTAGCCTAAAATCTCCGTAGCGTGTTGCCAGGCGGCAGAAAGCATATATATAATTATAATAAAGTTACAATAAATTAAGTTAATATATAATTATATATACAGTACCTAATTTATATATAATTAATATATAATTATATGTACAGTACCTAATTTATATATAATTTATATATAATACTAAACAGACGATAGCAAACTCAATTTAGCCGCTCCGTAGCGTGGCGCAGGGTCGGAGGAAAGTAGTTCGGCTGCTCATCCACTATTGGTCCAGACTCTATCAATCTTGTCGCGAAACGACGTTATAAGAGGTACGTTATACGAAAGTTGCTACAATTTTTCCGCTACGTTATAGGAATTGTCGTTATGAGAACGTACGTTATAGGGGGGTCGACTGTACATACAACAGGTATATTTAATCACATTTATTAATATGAAAATTATTGTTTTCAAATATACATGTTATAGCCTATATATATTACTATATTCGTCAACATAAAAAAATTCGACAGCTAAACCAATTATAAATGTTTAGTGCAGAATAATATAATTATTTGTTTTCTTTTATATACAGATATTTTGTAATATATTTAACTCAAAGAAAGAAAAGTTAACTTCATTAGAATTACAATTCATTTCATGTACGTTTTAAACACTTTACAGTGTAGAGTGCGTTGCTACGTTAATTACAGTAACCTTTCCTAACAGTCGAAAATAGTCTTATATGAAAGACGAATTAAAAGAGATAGTAAAACAGTGTTTTTAAACGATAGTTGTTTCTTCGAATTCCGTTCACCAGTGCATTATATCAAAAGAGTGTAAGATACTTTCGTTATAAAGAAATTTTTCGTATGTCCAACCTAGTGTACTAGCTATTCGTGTATTTTTTTAAAAATCGAAACACTAAAGTATCGTGCGCGTAAAAATCGAAAATTCCAGTTATATCATCGATTTTGAAACTGCGATGAGTTTACATTCACTCTTAAATGTTGTGACTCAAGGTTTATTCAGTAAAATAAAGTGTCTGATTATCCATATTTTAATTTGAAATATCACTTTTATATAACTAACATATTAAAATTACTGTAAACAAGATTATAAATTTTTGACGTAAGTTCCTTAAAATCATTTGATATCAATAATATTCTTACGTCACATTCCAACGGATTAAATCCTTATTCTTAGAAATAAAAAGAAATTGGCATTGGAAAACAGTAAACAAGATTTTCCCTTTTTATCTCTTTCACACCTATATGTTTTACTTTTAAAAATAATTTTACGTAATTTATCGTTTCTTAAAGCCACGTAGGTATTTGCGCCATTCATAAAATGCTACACTATATTTAACTAATTTTTATTTTTTAATTTAGATGTGAATTTGCCAAACTAAATGGAACTGACTTCGTTGATTCTGTAGAACAAGTAAAAAATGGGGTATGTTCGACAATTGGTATTTGCGTAGAGTTTATTATATTCTATGATTTTTTTGATTTAGTGTAACCTAACGAAAACACCTTCTTTAACTTTATCGAAAGAGAAAAAGTAATAATAATAAATTATCGCCGCTTTATTATTAAATAGCGTTATATTTCCACTTATTAAGAGGAAAGAGAATATTAATGCCAATCTTTATATTGTGCAAAAGTAATTAGATTTAATTTGTTACATTTTTTCATTACTGAATTATAAATTTTAACAGAAAAAATTAATTTATCGTGTTTAACTTTATCCTGAAATTTAAAAAAAAAATATATATATATATTGTTAAATTACTTTAACTCGTCAGTATATTTATTTCCTGAGCGTGACTGTTGTGCAAAAGTAAATAAATGCATTAAGTAATGTTATTTAATAGAACAGTGTGCTACTGTCTGGGTCAATTGTAATTCATTTATTTTAAAATAGTTGTAAATTTATCGAAAAGAGCATTAAAACGATAAAATCCCTCTGAAAAGTAATCAATAAATGTGGGGCACATCTAGATTGCTAAAAAACATTGTACAGAAATTATTAGCAAAAACATAATTACTAACATATATCGAAAACTGTCGATATTACGTTTTAACAGGACGCCGACATCACCGGCCAGTTCCAGTTAGTTAATGCTGATATGAGTGACGTTGTGGAGTTTACTCCAATTAACAAGTTTTCCCCTTTGCAATTCGTCATTAAAAACAAGAATTTTGAACCTTCCTGGAAATCACTAATTTCTCCTTTCTCTTTTTGGGTAAGTAACGCTTTAAAATTTAATTGACACAAAATTTTAAATGATATTTCAAACACAAAAAACCTTTCATATAAAGGTGTGGCTGGTGATTTTCTTGTGTACTTTGGTCGCTGGAATACTCATATTTATAATACTCAGTTACGATAAATCAACAGAAGACAAGAACAAGGGTTGGAATAAAAGAAGGTTCGTTTGGTTTCTGTTCGGAAGTTTTCTCAATCAAGGTAAGTATCAACAATACACAAGACAATACTTTCATTTAAAAACTGTATTTGCTGAACATTCTTTCTTTCGTTTTTATTTTAGGAGCCGATTTGAAAGTCTTTAGACGTTCACCCTCCAGAGTGGCCTTGGTCTTCTGGATGCTTCCAGTTTTGATCATATGTTGGGCTTATGGTGGAACCTTAACTTCGTTTATGATTACCAAGGAAAAACAGCCATTGCCGAAAACGTTTGAAGAATTAGCATCAGCTATCCAGAAAGGAGAATTTACTTGTACTGCACCTGGTCACCCGAGTGTAATAAGCTTGTTCAAGGTACGTTGCTGTTCGTAAATGTATTTAAAAAGATTTTACGTAAAATATTTCAAATCTTTTTATAAATACAGTAAATCCGTTAAGTGCACTAACAGATATTTAGGTAGCGTTATCGAAGTTGTGGGTTCTCCAAAGCTTTGTAAGTTCGTAATTTGCTTCATAAAAAATTAAAAAATGTAAAGTTGTATTAACATTAATAATTTATTTCTATTGTTTAATTTGAAAGTAACATTTAATTTCACGAATGTTATATTTGTCTTGAAAACAACGAAGAACTTTAATAATTTTGATGTTTTCACATGAGTCTCTTATTTTCTAAATTTTTATTATTATTTTTTTTTTACTGTTAACTTTATTTGTTTCTTCAGTAAGATATCTTTTTAGTAAGTTAAATTTCCAATTTGATAAACACTTTTTGCTATTAATGCAACAGGTCTGCTGAAAATGCTGTTATAGATGTTAATTTGAACTTTCGCTTTTGCTTTTCAATAATAATTTGTAATCTGTTCACATTTGCGGCAACAGAATACAACCGAAGGAAAACCGCGGCTTTTTACTATTTAGTGTAAAAGCTAGTTAAGTAAAAGCGTATATATCTATTGTGAAATTTCGTGACCCAGAAAGATATTGCAGAAAGCATTGTAATAACTGAAAAAAGTGAGGTTAAGTCTGATAATTGCTAATACAATTGCTACGTATTAAGAAACAAGAGAGAAATTTTTTCAATCAATCACTGCATACGAATTCCGTGATGGTTTCGTTTGTTTTAGGTCTTAATAGTGCGGTGGAAAATGATTATGTCCTTTTGTGAAAAAAAAACAAAATTCTAAAAAGCACGTCCACCAGCTTGAAATGCGTATACTTTCTTTCTAGGAAAATTGAAGTGTAAACTATAGCAGTCCAATCATATCGTCAACAATATATGAGAATAGTTCAGGAAAACGAGATTCAAGTCATGAATTAGTCAGTCGGAATACCAGGTTTGATTCCTATGAAAAATAGATGGATATTTTGGTACAGGCAAACGAAAAGCAATACGATAACACGATTGCCTCGAAGACTAAGATCATTGAAATATGAAAAAAAATTTCTCAGTATATTCTTCAACAATCGATCGAGTTAACGACAGATTTTTGAAACTAATCGTAAACAAATGACGTTGTTCTGGTTATCTTTCATAAATACTTTTGTAAATTACATTTTTCCTTTATTATTCACAATTGATTATAAAATTATTGAACATTTGAAGAGACTCGTTCTCATTAAATGGATTATTAGAAAGCTTTGTGTATAAATATAAAAGTATAAAAAGAATATTCTTATACGACGTTAAACAGTAACTTTTTACGTCAGAAATTAAACTGATTTGATGGCGAAGAAATTAAAAACTAATTCCAAAACCAAAAACGGAAAATCATGTATTGTAACATATGTCGATCCTCGGGAACTTTCGTTGAATCTCCGCGAATGTAATCGAAGGAGATGTTCAAAATCCTCGGCTTATGGACAGTATTCAATAGAAGGAAGTTTGAAAATTTCAGAGAAAAAACAGATTCGCATCCGAGTTTTGAAACGTGAAAGTTACGTTGGTCCTCACTGTTCCTCGTGAACTAATTCGGAGAGGAAAAAACTAGTCAATTATGTAGAAGTGCAAAAAGTATTTAGATTGTTTAATGAAATTATATTTTTAAATGCCAGTACGCATTCGAAATATTGTTTCGTGACTGTATAAAACGATTTATATTAAATTTTGATTATTCCTTTCAGAATTCTAAACAAAGTTATTTGAAAATTTTATATAAAGAGATTTCAAGCAATCATATCATCTATACACACGATTTGATTCTCCAAGGGAACGACGAATCCTTCGATTACACTCGTGTTGCATACATCTATAGTATGGTTTACCTGAAAATTTCCGATTACGAAATCGCCTTGGATGTGACAGTGTCTGACGATGTATTATTTTCCATGCCGGCAACATTTGTTATGAGAAAAGGATTTTCCCATAAAGAATATTTCAACAAAGTGTAAGTTCTATTTTAAGTATACGAATTCTTAGATTAAAAATTTCGTAATTATGCTTTATATTTATTTCAGAATGTACAATATATTCGAAAGTGGCGTTCAAGACCATGAAATAGATGTTGACATGAGAAAGTACAATCCGATTCCGAAAATTATTCACGAGAGAGTTGCTATGAGAAAAGAAAAAGAGTCTGATGTTGAACCCTTGGTTTTAAGAAATTTTTATGGAGCCTTCGCAATTCTTGTTATCGGTTACCTTCTGTCGTTCGCTTGCTTCCTTGTCGAATTAATAATTGGAAATAAAATGAAAAGATTCCAAATTTAAATTTTACGCAATTATACCCTTAACTGTTGTAGTTCGATATGTTTCCTTTCGTGTTAAATATATATTAAATATATAAATAAATATATAATTTATAAACCCATAACATTCACTTTCTTTACCATGTTTTTTGTTTTCTTCGGATAATGGAATCTTTGATTTATCGAAAGTTTTGCATTTGGTTTTAGATATTCTATAATTTTTTAATATGAAATGAGAAAATTAAATTTTGCTGCTTTGTACTTTTATATTCTCTAAACTGTGATAAAATTATCTCATAAAATAAAACTCTTAGCTGAATTGCAGTGTTATATTTCAAAGACGATTACAGATCATTTATTAAAGTAGATACAAATTTCACAAGATGATATTCGAATCAATAATTAATATTAATTCTCACAGCCATAATTTATATTCAGGATTTCTTTCCTATAATTTTACTAATATAATTGATTTTAGTTTACTTTTTATATATTTCGACAATCGACGTTTACAATACTGTTTTGGAATTTTGTTATTATTATTACCAATTTATTATTTTGTAGGTGACTTAAAAATATTTATAAAACATCGCAATTATTTTTGAAAAAACAATATTTTTTTGTAGATTTCTGTTTCAATTTAACATCGTCACCTTTCTGGTAATGTAATCTATATCGCAAGACTAATTTATACATTTTATTTAAAACTTATGGAACAGATTTGCCGTGCTAATCGCTCAAACCGTTTTTTTAATTTTTGAAGTTAATGACATTAAACAAAACACAATCTGGTCTTTCTAAGGAGGAAAATTTGCTGTACTGTACATCACTGGTTAACTAGAATCGATTTACTAAGTATGTACACTCACACATTAACGCTTTTCTCAGCAGTATGTACAGAAGATTGCCTTTGAGATGTAATAATTTCACGTTGTCAGTTTGTGCGTAATCTTTAGTTGAATAATAGTAATACAGTATTTATAATACGAAAAACAAATAAATGTTAAAAATATTTTATGATATTAATAATTGAGCTTTTTTCTAGTTTAATTATAAGCAATTGCCAATGTTGCGTATGAGCGAGGCAAGCACTGCTACAAAGCATAAGAAATCTGAACGTTTGCAATATTCTGTAACAGAAAACTTAAAGTAAACGCATTACTTTTATCAGCAAAAATCTGGTTTTAAACAGATATATCCATTTTGAAAGTTACTGGAATGTGAATTATGCTTACTTGACTTTTGATCCAGCGCAACTTCATAACATTGCGAACAAATAATAACACTATCTATTGTACACGAAAACAGTTACAATAAATTGATAAAATGTAAACATTTATTAAAGTCCGTAACACTTTTTTGCGTGTTGTTTGCATTATAACTTTTATTATCTTATTGTTATCACGATCATTTCGATTACGCTTTATTCTGCTCACTATGTGTGTTAAATTCATGTATTACATATCAATATTATTGGTGTTAATAATGATTAATAAAGCACAGTTTTAAATCTTACTCGAGTTTGTTTGTTAGTCATTACATCTGATGCGCAATATTACAATAAAAATATTTATAAAGTAGAAATATTACAGCCGAATAATTTTCTGAATAATATAATAATAACTAATTGTTGAATTTTAATTTATTTAGACTAAACGTAATTAAAATTTCTTGATCATGTAAAATTAAATACAGTAGTTATTAATTTCTGCCTATTATATGCGTTAGTAGTTACGATACAAGAAACTTCGTTCGATATTAGTGTGAACCCGACGGTTTACGGCCCGAATTTTTAGAGATTTATAATGTGAGAATCGACTATTGATTTATTTTTACGAGAGGTTAATGTAGATCCGCCGATAGAAGAATTAGTGAATCATATCCGCTCGGATGTCACCTTGGTTTTTAACATGTAGATGGGAAAGTTGACGGATTGTTGCGAAAAACTATCGATTCGTTATTACTAACTGTTCCAATAGAGAACAAGACTATGCCTGAGCTTATCTATACAGGAAGTTCCATCAGCCTTATATCTTAGACTATTAGATACTTTATCCAAATACTTTCAATACCAATCGGATGTGAAGATTATCACAGCTGAAGGTTTTACTACTAGCATTACTAATGTGTTAATTTCCCTTAAGATTGGAAGCCTGACAAAAAGCAATACTTTACTATCCAGGTTTTACTATTACTTAATTTATGTTATCGAGACATTAGAAAATTTAGTCTTGTGATAGATTCTAGTTTTAATCAGATCTCTCAAAATCATACTATACTAACATTACATACTATTACTTTTGAAGTACGTTCAAATCACTCTAGTTCCACAAATAGTTACCTTAGTAGACATAATATTCATTCTTGTAACAGCATAAGTAACGATAGCAATAGCTTATATAAGATAGATCAGAGGGAGATTCCTCAGGCTCCTAACCTTGTCTTCCCACCTCCTTTGGCTCAGAATGCAGCAGGAACTTGTAGGAGTACAGATAGTTTTACTTCGTTAATTAAAAAATATCTCTGCTAACTATTTTTAACATTAGAAATGTTGTTAACCCTAATCTGAAGGATAAACAGAAGCAGTAGCTAAGGAGCATTATTTTAGGATTTCGGGAAGTTTTGCTGCTGAGAAGTTTTCAGTGCCAGCCCTAAAATAGCTTCCCTTAAAATATTACTTAAAAACGAAAGGCCCATAACTCTCAAATCTTAGAGAACATCTTACCGTGATAAAGAAGAAATTGATAGATAAGCGGAACTATTGCTAAAATCGGGATTAATTGCACCATCGTCGTTTCCGTACGCTGCCCCACTGACATTAGCTAAGAAAAGAGATAAGGGGAAAACTAGACTATGTATGGATTATAGAAAGTTAAACGAGATAATTAAAATTAACAATTAACTTATTCTCAGAATAGATGAACTGCTGGATAGACTTATAGCTGGTAAAATATTTTTTTCTGAAAATACTCAGTCAGCCTATGGGCAGGTTACTATCTATTCTAAAGACAAAGAACTAACTGCTTTTGTAACGAATTCTGGTCACTTCCAGTGTAATCGTTTACCATTTGGCATAAAGACTTCACCCCCGATTTTTCAGCTAGTTTTAAAAAATATTTTAGATATATATAGATTTTTTTTATCATCAATTATTTTGATGACTTGTTAATTCATAGTCAAAACCTGGATGAACACCTAAAACATTTAACACGAGTATTTGAATTATGTTGAAGAGAAGGTCTCTACTTATACCTTAAAAAATGTGAGTTTGTTAGATCTGAGATTAATTACTTCGGGTTCAACATCAAACCAGAAAGTCACTTTCTCTTATTATCAAATATAGAAACTATACAAAATGTAAAATGTTCAACTAATATCAAACAACTACAGGATTTTTTAGGGTACAAAAACCAGATACTTTATCCAAATATTTAGATACTTTATCCAAATATTTAGATTTAGGCTTATTTAGATAAGCTCTTAAATTTGCAAATTTAAGAGCTTATCTAAATAAGTGTCTAAAGAAAAATAAAAATTGGACTTGCACAACTAAATGTTAAGAATCTTTTAAGAAATTAAAACTAGCACCTATCTTCAGACCCATCTTAAACATGTGTCATTTATCCCTTTGCTTCCTACACATCTTTATACAGATGCTAACGGAGTATCTTGTATAGGGAGTATCTTGAAACAGGAACAACCTCTTGAAAGATTACTTCCTATTGCCTATTTCTCCAGGTCCTTACGTGAATATGAAAAAAGATACACCATTACTTAAAGTTAATGCTTTGCCATTGTAGCATCTATTGAGAACTTTCCCTTTTATCTACATAACGTTTATTTCACCATACACACTGATCATCAAGCTTTACAGTGGCTGAAAAGTATAAAAAACCCATCTGGAAAGTTATTTAGATAGTCTTTGAAACTAAGCATGTATCAGTATGACATTAAACATTAGAAGGGAAGCCAGACTATAGAAGCGGATTATTTATCCAGAACCCCGTGAGCCATTTTGTTACCACTGAGGAAGTCCTTTCCAACCAGGATACCTCATTACTCACCTCGCCCAAGTTTTTTCGAGATCGTGAAGATGTAATCTGTATCAGAAAGAAGGGATTTACAAAGAAAGTCATACCTCTATCACTTCAGTACAAGGTGCTATCCAGGGCATATGCACACTATGGTCACCAAGGTATAACACAAATGCTGAAACTAATCAGTCCACGTTACTATTGGCCGAATGTCATCAACGATGTTGTAGAGTTTGTTAAACATTGTGATATTTGTCAGAAAGCAAAGACATACAACCATAAAAAGTTTGGCTTTTAAGTGACTTACATTTATCAAAAGCTCCATTTGACATGTTATCTATGGACACTGTCTCTGGAATGTAAAGGTAAGGATCTACGAAGAACTACCTTCATGTCGCCATCGATCACTTTTCTAGGTTTGCTTGGTGTTTCCCTTCCAAATCTACTTTTATAAACGCCTACATAGATTGTCTAGGCAAAATATTACAAACATGGCAGCCCAAAATATCTACTAACAGATAGAGCACCTTCATTTACTTTTTCTAGATTTCAAAATTTCAAAGGAATCGGTAGGAACAAACGAACATTACATTTTTATTTATATAGATAGATAGATGATGATCCGCTTTAGTTTATCTTCGCCGAAAAGCAAACTTAGGTAGTCGTACTCGTAGCGTTATCTGTTGGACATAAAAGCCTTAACCCTAGATGATATCTTTTAGTTTATATGAATGTTTAACGAAATAATATACAACCTATGTCTACCCTGAAGCTCCATTCTAAATATTGGTTAAAGAAATTATGAAATCGGATGAGTTGTTTCGGAGATTACCCGCTACATCCAAACTTACTTACTTACAAACATTACCTCTTTATAATATTAGTATAGTTTATAATCGAACCAACTATACTGTTCAAGCCGATAAATTGTATAACACCCAGCCCAACCTCCCTGATGCCCAATGATGTCGCCTTTTTAAAAGAGGAGCATTTAACATATTTTAAATTCTTGTAAACTTTGTATATATTTTTCTGTAAT